GGGGGGGGGGTTGTGTCTGCACTCTGACCTTTTTTTCTTAGGGGTTCAAATTTTATTGAACTTGTCCATAGGGGGTGTGTACATCAAATGGAATGGCCCATATATATTGTAAAAATAGTAAAATACGATTAGATATATATTGTAAAATATGATTAGATATATTCAGGTTCACTATGCTTGTAAATAAATACAGACTAGAGATTTAATTCAAGAAAGTTCAAAAGATACAAAATTACAATAACATTCCCAACGGTTAAGGTCCCGACCATTGAAATGTCAGCCAGTGCAGAACAGACTTTACATGGTCTTTAAAATAAAATGTTGTCAACTTTTGTCTTTTTAATATATATTTTAATACAGTAGAAAAGAAATTATAAGAAAGGAGAAAATAATGATTACAATTGAATCCAAGAGCGACAGGAAATTTCTGTGTCTATATGAGTTATATCAACACGGCTCTTAGCTAATTATAGCGTTCAGAATTTACAAATACTATATCATATAAATATAAATAAATTATTTGAGCAGATTATAACATTTTCTTTTAACTCAGGGGTGGAGGGCATTTGACTACAATTGACCACAAAGTACTGCTTCACAGTGGGGCCTATTGACAGTCCAGGGATTATTCTAAGGAAATTTTATCACTGCACAAAAGCGCGAAAAATGATAAAATGTACATAAATTTAGCTACATTTTAGAAAACGTTCTTACTGCCCTGCATTAGTGCATGTACGCTGGTTCTGAAACTTAAAGTTACCCCATGCATGCACTAGTTATATGCAGGCAAATGAGCCAAAATCACCGCTAATGAGCCGAAATCTGCATTCTGCATATTCTATTTCATGCAAAAATATACACATTTTTACATATTTTTTTAATCGCATGCAAAACACCAAGCAATATTGCTCTTCAAGATCTACTAGTCTTTCACTGTTGATTGTGTCACCAAACCGCAGCGTCAAAAATCTCAAAACAAAATCTCTCGGCAGCTGTTTAAGGTGTGTGCCCGGCACTGGTGCCCAACGTTCAAAATGGTTCACAAAACATGTTGAGCACAGTGCTGTTGTTGAGTACTACCTCTAGAGGTAGTGCCCTTTCTTGGGCACAGTACCCAATTTCATTTGGAAGTATCATGTTCAAAGTTGGCGCCAAACAAGTGACGGGCACCCAGTCTGGACGCAGCCTAAGTGATTTTCTTGAACGCAACTTGGGCTCACTTGGCCGCTATATAGGAGAAATACCCGATCGGAATAAATATGCCACCGAAACATTAGTAAATGAATGCTTTATTGAATGAATGCATAGTAAATGAATGCTTTATTGCAATAATTTTGAGTTCAAATATTTTCACCCTGTATATTCCCAGTAAAAACTGAATGAAGCCATTGTATGTGATTTTATGCAAATTTAATAGTATACAAGCAGTGGCCATTCCATCGCCAATTTCTGGTAGTGAACAATATCGTATTTTATCACTGCACATAATCTAATTTATCACCGCACAAATTGGTTATCACTGCACCTTAGAATAATCCCTGATTGACACAAAAATATTGGAAATGACACAAAAATATTGGAAATGCCCCTGGGTTTGCCCGCCCTCACCAGGCATAATGCAAAATGTTTGGGCGTAATGCAAAGGCCGGGCATATTATGCAACATTTTCAATTACAATATGTTTACTTTTTAGGACACCAGACACACTGTATTTTTAGTGAACTCTTAAACAAATTCATAGTATGTTCACTCTTTTACTATTTCTTTCATTGACCAATACAACTGCATAACAAAAAAGGCATAATTTGGTCTCTGGCTTGGATTTGTCGAGGCCAAAGGGATTAATTGCCCCCCCCCCCCAAGTTTTGCTTTTCTATTTTTGTGTCAAATATAATAAACTAAGTTTGTTTGCTGGAAAAATTCTGTCACTCCTGTTCTATCTATCACAAACAGGTAGGTAGGTAGGTAATACTTTATTTAAAATTAACAGAAGGAAGAACACGCTAGCCCCATCAACTCTAGGCTGGTTTCCATGGGGGGCGTGTTTAGATCTTAAAAATTATTAAAAGGAAAATTTAAACTAAATATTAGTACACACATACTGTACACGTTACTATATACAAATAATTAGGAAGCATGTCGCTGTCCAACAATTAATTTAAACGAATGAGGCGACTCGGCCAATTTTGCTTCGTTTGGGAGTTGATTCCAGAGCATAGCGCCGCTATATTTAAAACTTTTTTTAAGAAATTCTCGTTTCGGTTTAGGAATTGTTAGATCAGTTGCTGTGTTTCGAAGATGATAATTAGTTTGATCTATTTCTCTTCTCACGAAAGACCCCCGGAGACCTGGCGCAGTGTGGTTGTTAAGTATTTTATACATTAATACTGACTTGGCACCAGACCGCCTATTTTCAAGTTTATCCCAAGAAAGCATGTTGAGAAGATCAGCTGAGCGAGTATCATAATTAGCACCCGTTAGGACTCTTGCTGCACGAGACTGAAATCTTTGCAACTTGTCTCTTAGCAACTTACCACAAGTGTCCCAAAGGGGGGAACAATAATCAAAGTAGGGCTGCACAAGACTTTTATAAATCGATTCTAAGGTATGCATTGGAACAAAGGGCTTTATACTTTTCATAGCGCCAATAGCAGCGCTCGCCTTCTTGCATATCATTTCAATGTGACTATCCCAATTAAGGGTTTCATCTAGTTTTACTCCTAGGCACATTTGTGTAGCAATTCGTGATATGGGTTTTGCATTAGCCACAACGGGTTCCTCACACATTATATTATTAAGATTATATGGGGAGCCAATAAACATCATTTTACATTTTGATGGATGCATCTGCAGCCTATTTTCTTTAAGCCAGTTACAGATATGGGCAAGATCTGAATTTAAATTTACAACAAGTTCATTTGCATCGTAGGAAGATGAAAAGATTTGAGTATCATCC